GGTAATAAAGTGCGTTTTTAATTAAAATATGAGTAGTTTAAAATAAATCAATTGTCAAAGTTTTAAAAAAATATAACCATAAACTAGCAAAATATCCAATCATGATATTCAAAATGGCTTAGAGAGAAATTCAAAAATTTTACGTTTAGAGGGGCAAACATGAGAAAACCCAATTTCTACCCCATAAATCCCCCAGAAAACCCTGTTCTCATGGTTCGATCATGCTGGTTCGCAAACTCGTTCGAGTAAACGTAGGTTTACACGTTTTTACCAAATTTCGTCAACATTGGGTCATTTTTGCTTGAGTTATCGTGCTAACGTTCTTTAAAAAGGACACGTCTACAATCATTAACGCTGTTAAAGTTTTATGTTTTGTCATATAGAAAAGTACAAAACATCTTTAGATTGATTTGAGCGAGTTCGCAATCCAGCATGATCAGACCATGGGAACGGGGTTTTTGGGGGGATTTATGGGGTCAAAATTGGGTTTTGTCATGATTAACCCTCTACACATAAAATTTTCCAATATCTCTCTAAACAATTTTGGATATAATAATGATTATAAATACCTTAAAAACCAATAATTTTGTTTATTAAAGTGTTTTTGTACGAATATTGGTTACCTACCGAGAAAATTCAAAAATTGTAAATTTATCATTCTCATTTTATTCTTATGGAGAATAAGAAAACTGTTGTATTTTGCTCGTTTAAGGTTATATTTTGATAAAACTTGGCAAATTTATTTATTTTGACCTTGGCTATTAATATTTTAATAAAAAAAAAACACACTTTATTATTGTCTCCGTAGCAGCAAACCTAGGTACTAATTAAACTCAATTAAAATATATTTAATTGAAAATAAAATCAGGCAAATGGAAACTCACTAATCTGCAGGTTTGCTGCACTGGGGGTATTTTGCCTATTCCAGGAAATAGAGAGAAGGCATCACGACCTATGATTGCAAGGAAAATTAAAGATTGCTGCAGATTTCTGGAGAGAGTTGATAAAACAAAACACTAAACAATTTTTAATTATTTTAGTGATTAACGGCCGCCATTTTGAAATGACCTAATCAAACTCGACCGTTGACAAACTGGGATTATATATCGTATTCAAGCACTACAAGTGCTTAATTAATGGTGGTTAATTTTCCTCACAACTTTAACATGTGACACAGACTCATGGTCAGTTTTGTAATAATTGATATTAACTGGGTTATTTTACCTTAATTAATTTGTCATATTTAGTTTTTCATTAATAAATTAGTCTTTTTCTAATAAACCGTCGGTTGTATTGCTTTTATTATGTTCTTTTTCGATTATGCATCCTAAGAAACATAGAAAACGACACCACACTTGCTTGGATCCCATAAATAAAAATTTTCTCAAAATCACTACCCCCATAAACTTTAACCCCCATAAAATGGTACTTCCACCCCCACAATCACTAGGGACTCTTCAGATTTTAAAACCTAATGGTAATTACTACGTTTCCTGCAAGTTTCATGAATGGACTAATTTTTATGTTTTCTTAGGTGAGTTTTACCTGTACTAATTACAAATATCTCAAATAGTTAAAAATTTAGGGGGGGGGGGTTGCAAATTACTTTCTCAGCCACCCGCTGAATATAGATTTAATACAATTCTGACCCGCCTGGTGTTTGTTTGTATAAAACCAATACAATCCTGACCCACCGGGGTCAGAATTGTATGAAGGGTCAGAATTAGATTGTTTTCATAACTATATATATATATATATATATATATATATATATATAAATTTGAACGAATGGTATTTTTGGCCTCTGGGGACATCAAAATGAAAAAGTAAATCGGTCCCGGGCTTAGATCTTACTATGAGACCTACGGTAATAGCTACTTCCCTATAGGGAAATTCGCTATAACAGTGTCAAAATTATTAAGCTTGGTATAAACTCACATTTCATCATTACATTAAAGCAACGAAGTTTAAAAGTAAAGACCAATTAATGAACTAAATCGATTGTGCATTGCAAATAGATCGTGTGGCCGCAGCTTTACACGTTAGTCAGTGGAACTGCATTGAGTGCTGGCGAAATGTATATTAAATATATTATTATCCCGATAAAACCCTACCCTACTGCAACGCATTTTTGTCTTTATCTACTGTATTTTATATACCTATTTCATTTTTTTTTTATTAGTTAACACCACAAAATGGTGACGTATACTGTATATGCAAGACTGTAAACAAAATACAAGATTTCTCAGCTAAATAAATAAATATTATATTATTTCATTTTAAAGACTTTTGCATCGCAGATGTTTAGGAAAACGAGAACTACTTTGAGAAATTATTGTGACATAAGATGGGCATAGAATATTTACTAGTAGTAATATTTACTAGTAGTATATTTACTAGTAGGTCTATGTATTTGGCGTGTTTCAATCAATTATCAATGATAACATTATCAGATATATGAAAGCAAAATTGGCTGGGAATAATAACTAAAAACAACATACTAGGCCTATAGTAAAATATGCGATATGCACACTATGCGATATGCTACCAGTAAAGTAAATCACTGTTTTTAGAGATATCGGCCATAAAGGCTGTTACCATGACAACACAGCAAGGTTATAATAAGCCCATAAACCCGTTGATGTTACACGATACATCGTCATCAAAGACTACGTCAGTTCTTAAACATGTTTTTAGAAAAAATGACTATTAAATTCCACAGCAAAGACAACATTTTTTACACTAAACAGTGATGCGATGCGATCAACCAACATCCTAAAATTTAATTCGAAATACAAAATCGTTTTATTATAAAATAAAAATGTCTTCGGAGTCAATATAGGAATTTATAGTTTCCCATCTCACTATTCACTATTCAGGTAAGAAAACTGGGCATGTTTAATAATTTACTACAAACTAATAATGTTATTGGTAAATCAGCTGATCACTCAATGCAAATCTAATGGAAATTACAAGTTTTAACTTGCAGCAAAGCTTGTAGCTTGTAATTAGATTTGCATTGGACAATCAGCTGATTTACTAATAATATTAGTTGGTAGTTTTAGCGAATTTCCCATATACAGTAGGGAATAAGCTATTGCCATTGACTATTATTATCGTAGGTCTCATGGTAAGACCTGGACCCGGGACCGATTTACTTTTTCGTTTTTAGGTCCCCAGAGGCCAAAAACACCAACCGTTAAAATTCATATATATATCCGTTAGCACCATAACTCGAGCAAAAATGATCCGATTTTGATGAAATTTTGGGTAAACGGGTAAACCATTTATTCATCATGATCATACTATAGGGTTTATGGGGGGTTTTATGGGATAAAAATGGGGGTTTCCTATTTTTCACCCTTAAAACGTAAAATTTTGCGATTTCTTTCCAAAACCATTTTTTAAAGCTAAAAAAATAAATAATTTATAGTATATTGAAGCATTGTTGTATGCCTAACGGTTACGGAAAAATTCCAAAAAAGTTTAAATTTAAAATTACCATGTTATTCTTATGGAGAATAAATAAACTGTTGTAGCTTGCTTGTCTATGAACATATTTTAATGAAATTTTGAAATTTTGTTTACTTAATACTAAGCTATCAATATTTCAAACCCCAATTTTCTTCCATGTAGCAGCAAACCTAAGTGCCCATTAAAATTAATGATATTTAAATATGAAATAAATCTAACAATTTTAAGGGAATAATTTAGTGGGATTCCAGCCAGGTATATGGAAATTCGCTTAGTCTGCAGGTTTGCTGCGACGGGGGTATTTGTAGTTTATTATGAAACAGGCCCCTGGAGCTATTAATTTTACTTTTAAAAACCTTTAAAACAAATACATTTCCCATATTTTTAATGTTGATAAATTTGTAATCTCGCATTTTTGTGTGTTTTAACAAATACTTAATACTTTTACTAATAAACATTACTTTAAACGTAAAATTTATGGTTAAAGTGAATTTTACAAGGATTTGTTACCGGTGTGAAATACATTCAAGCAATAAATTTATTTATTTTTATTAATTCCTGAGAAGAGTTACACTTCACCGAGGCTAGGACGTTATTGACTTTAGATTGATATTTGAACCATCATAAAAATATGTCGTTTAAAATTAGTTAAGGTTCGACGACAAATTTATCAAACTAAATGTGAAGACAACTTTAAAATTATATAACATCTTCAATTAATAACACAAATATGTAATAATTAAACAAGTTACATTACAAAACAAACTTTTAAATATCTATCACATCAAGAGAGTAAAGTGCTGATGGTCGAGGAGGAAATGTGAAAGAACATGATCCTTTTCCTCGAACAGCGAGAATCAACAGGTCGATATAACACACGCAAGAGGAGAAGTTTTCTTAAAATAGTTCCTTCTGATACGAAATGTTCATAAAGGTACGTTCGTCTTCGTAGTTCATCACATTGTATTTACTTAATTTAATAATTAATTAGCTTCGAAACGAGTGACATGTATAGTAATTTCAGTTAATAATATCAAAAACCCTAACGATAAAACGACGTTGACATCCTACCAAATTTATTACAATTGCGACAAATATGTGAGGTGACAGTAACACATAAAAAACTGATATTACGGTAATATATCAGGGGAGAGCTCACAAAATATAATTGGCATAAAGCATTTAAGGCTACAATAATTTTTATTAATACATCATCTAGTCTATACAAAATTCTGAACGTATAGATCTATAAAATTCCAAATTGTTTAGAGTAAAATGGTGTAATGTGTAATCATTAACGAACATTAAATACGATCCATGATAATTTAGATACACTCTGTTGAGAAAAACATCGATGTGCAATTTTATGCGTCTAAAATAAACAAAAATAGAACTCCAAATGTTACCAGATAATTATTTTCGTAATATTCACTAAACGGAAGATTCTAAACCTCTTTCCTTAATTCCTTACAAAATGACAATTAAAACTGACTTATCAATTGAGTACTGTAATATCCTTTCCTTACCTTACAGCATGAAGGGTTTGTGTGGAAGATGGTCGGCAGCACCAGGACTATAGTGCGTCGGCGCGGACAGATCAATAAAGGACCTGAGATCAGCTGATTAAAACTATTATCACTGTCATTAAATTAAACTAGAGGTCGGCCAGTGGACGAAAACTCGATCAAAAATATTGAATGTGCAGACTTCTCTATTTTCACCCCACGCTGTAAATAAAACATGTGAGTGATTGGAATTTCTTCCATTTGTTTTTATTTTCTGTTTATATTTTGTTGTTATTTCGTCACCAGCATGGCAACCCATAATGTCCGTGTTAATTTTTTAAAATTTAAAATTCATTTTTTGTGCTTATCTTTGGGCCTATTTTATAAAGGGGTTCTGCACACCTACAGGAAATAGCTTTCTAACAGTATGCGTAGATTTTCCCTACGATGCACATGAGCTGAGAAAAAAAAGGTTTTAAAGAAACATGCTTGATAGATACTGAACCAGAATGTAGCTTTGTTGCCATAACGATACTCGGAATGATAAGGTGTTGATATAGTTAAAACCCTTAGTAGCTTAATTAACCGTTCGTAAGGTAGACGTTCTAATTGTTCGTTTGCAGGTTAAAAATAGAAACATCGAACTTGTTTGATGTACAGTACGTTAATAGTAATTTTGACATTTTTGTACAGTTTAAGTTACCGACATTATCATTGTGTGATATTAGTTTCATATTCATTTTGACATAGATAAAATTGTTTTTTTTATTTTTACCTGTATAATTTGACGAATATAGAATAGTTTTTAATTAACAACAGAATAAACACTTATAAAAAATGGACAACTTTGAGGTGTAGCTTTGCTGTCAAATTCGTGTTTTAGCAATTTCTTTGTTGGAATAATGTACTAAACTTTATACGATCCTGAATTCGCCTATAATGGGTCGGGGATGATTGGAGTGGCCGATCGGACTCGAACACCACCTACTATAATGTATTTACTGTCTTGTCAAAGCAGTACAAGTGTAAATTAATGTTTCAAGTGTAATATACGAAATTTGATTAACTTTGCTTCAAATTAATAACACGTACTTTATAAGAAATGTCAGTAATATATTGTAAGTATACAACTTCAATAACAGCACAAACTGTTTATGCCTACCGTCCATATTGAAAAATACACACTTGGCACGAAGGCTAGGGTTAATTTTAAAATGTCAAAGGTCAATAGAGAACATTAATCAGGGCATTGTAATTACCAAAGTGTAACAACAAAAACAACAAATTACTTTATGACAAGAAACGTCCCAGCGGGCAGAACTTTACTTAACATGTTGCAATTTTTTTATAGAAATTTGTAATCATATAGCAAATACAATTTGATTGGTCATGAAATATCCTATACGGGGTGTTTTTTTTAACTTTCTTCTTTATTTATGTAAAAACTGCAAAAGATGGAAATATGCAGTTTTTTGAATTCTTCTATTGACGTAGAGAAAACGTTTCATTGGGTTTTGTAGAAAATTTAATTCCTGAACATAAAAAAGCTTTCAAATCTTGCCAGCTCTTTCTGTTTTCGAGCCATAGCCGTTAAACAAAACGAACGTATTTTTCTCAAAAAACGGGGAGGGGGATTAAAATGTTGAACTGCCATAACTTTTGATAGGATTGACGTAGATACCTCTAGTTTGTGCCATTCTTTTTATTTTTTCACGCCCTTTCATTTGATATGTAACAAGGGGCCCCTAGCAATTGTTGTGTGTAAAAACTTGTACTTAAAGGTAGGGGGAGAAAGGGGGTGAATGGGAGATTAACGATGAATTTACAACAATTGTGGCTTCTACGTGAATAGACGATTCCCGCGAACTGTATATTTTTGTCTATTGCAGTTTTTACATAAATAAAGAAGCACGTTTAAAAAAACACCCTGTATATTACTAGGCAAGCATGTTTCTTGAAAACCTTTTTTCTCAGCTCGTGTAAATCGCAGGGAAAATCTACGCATACTGTTAGAAAGATAGTTTCCTATAGATGTGCAAAATTCCTTTATAAATTAAAAAAAATTAATATGGGCCTTATGGTTTGCTATGTTGTTGACGAAATAACAACGAAATATAACCAGAAAATCAAAGCTAATGGAAGAAATTCGAATCACATGTTTTATTTACAGCGTGGGGTGAAAATAGGGAAGTCTGTACATTACATAGTTTTGGTCGAGTTTTCGACCACTAGACGAGCTCTAGTCATAATTAATACGGTAATTAGTTTGAACGTGATATAAACGTTTTGTTAAGTAAATTTTAATTAATAATTATATCTCCTAAAGTATTAAACAAACTGTGTGAACATAATACAATAATTTTTTACGTTATAAAGCTTTAACTCGGTCTGTATATAAGTTACAAATTCTCGTGAGTCTCGCTTCGCGATTCCCGTACACAACAGACCTGTCTGTTTAAGCCCCATGGGGTATGAAGCAAATGTTATAAAACACATGAAAGAAGCACATAATTGTAATTCAACTGGCCTACAAAATTTGCCATTGTTTCCCTAAGAGTACCAAATTGGCAGAACTTGGTAGGAACCATAAACAAATAAAAGATTGAAATTTAAAATAAAATATACCATTAATTTTAACCCTACTTGAGTAACAGGACATTATAAGGATCTATTAGTTGAATCAACCTACTTTCCTTCATCGTACAGTCTACTTCCTTCTTCACCTGTCCTAATAAAAAATTGAAACACTTTTGTGGAAAAGTAGGTACTAGGGTGGCAGAAGTTGGTAGGAACTTTACTAATTTAGTCAACAATGTTGACTCATACTCCATTTTAGCATGATACAACAATTATTGTACAATTACTTTCTAAACCTAGGGTGCCCGAACGTAATAGGAACTCTGCAAAGTTGAGTTAGCTATGATAACTCCTGCTACTTAGGGCGATTGCTATAATAGAAATGTACATTATAATGTTGAACTCCTTTATTTCATCATAGAAGCAAAATTATACAATAAAACCCAAGAAAAGGATGAAATTGTACATGTATGATATTGTTGTAATGTAACATTTATATCACGGTTAAAATCATCAAATATTTTTATTTTACTAAGAAGTTCAAATAAATAAATATTACTCCAAGGTATTTTAATGCAGAATATAATTTGGGAAACATTTGTAGCCTACTTTATGACTGGAAATTATTTCAAACTTTTGGGGTACCTCATTTAATAAGTCGAATATGACAAAAATATAACCATTGTGAAAAATGTTAGTCGCAAAAATGTTGATTTCAACCGTCAAATTGTGTAGGCTTAGTATAATAGTAAAAAATAATCCACATTAGCGTTGTCAGTTATGAAAATTGCTTCTCAATACCAAGTTCAAACATAGAGTCAATTGCCCAGTATAAGTCTTTCGAGTGGTCTCTCAAAGGATTCCTAGACTCCCACACATATTATAGGGTTCTAAAATACACCGATACCGATACTTACCCACGCAAAATGTTTAATCTATTCTCCGACAATCTTCCTTTGAGTATTTCATTAGAGCCTTCCATGAATGTTGTACAGTGATAGTGATGCACCTCTATACAAAACTTAATATTCTAACTATTTACCATGGCCACCAATATAATGTATCCTATTAAATCTCACAACTTATACATGGAAATAAATTTCATAAACTTAATTATTGTATTTAACAATGCCAAAAAAGTGGTTAATTAATTGATATAGGCTAAAAGTTAATATTTTTATCTGTATCAAGCAATATATATATATATATATATATTTTGACAAGCATGAAATGTACTGTATAAACAACAACTGTGTTTTCCAATCCAAATCTGGATAAAGATTAGAGTTGCAAGGTACATTAGACAGCATCCATCAATGTTAGAAATTCAGATTACTGCATCTGTTATTCACCTGCCCCACATGAATATTTTATTTCCGTATCTATGTCTGTAAGTATAATTAGAAAATACTGGTAATATTGATGGTTTGAAATTTATTAATCTTCAAAATGCTTTTTACTATCTTAGATTATTATTATTGATCATAATGAATTAACAGGTCCATATCTATTCTTACCCCCAACCTCTTAGTTCAAGCAAATAAGTCCAAATTAGGAAAAATAGAGGAACAAATCTATGTATTCCCATTTTTTTCAAAAATGTGTCGGGGAGGGTCCCCTTATGAATATATGATAGGTGAGAATAAAATCACCCTGCCGCTCTATGTATGGGGGAGTTGAGAGGGGTAAATGCCCCAATTCGCGGTTTTTTGCTTATAACTTGAAAACGGTGTGTCCTAGGTTAAATTGTTCAGTATAAAAGGTAAATCTAATTAAATTTGCTACAACTTTGATTGTATACATTATCAGTGAAAAACGCATAGTTTCAGAGATATCCGAGCTCAAAAATAATGTTTAAAAACAGATTTTCACCTCACATTTTTCGTTAAAATCTTATTTTTTTCTCCTTCCTTGTTATTTTTTCAGAAATATTGACTGAAAGAAGCTTGTAGAGAATTAAATTTACTTCAATAATATGTACACATATGTAAATATATATGATGTAGGTCAAAAGTTACAGCGTTTTTAAGATTAAAGAGAAAATCCTGAATTACACAAATAGTTGCAAAGTCTTGTTTTTTATCATTGCACGATTTGTATGGTTTCTTATAATTGTTTAGGCCAAACATAAGTATATTTAAGGTTAAAATTTGTAATAGTTATGTAAATAACAATGTGACAAAATAAAAAGGTTATATTGTATTTATTACGATGATCCAAGGCAAAACAATTAAAACTTACAAATCAATTCATATTTAATTATAGAACGAATGTTACCTTAGCCTTTCTTCTTGCATGAACAAAGGCTAAGGTAACATTAGTTCTACAGGGTGTTCCGTTACTCTCTGGACACATGTATATAGTGTTATTGTTTAGGTCAAGGTCAAGAGAAACACATTTCACCATAGGAATATGTGTCTGTGGTGCCTAGTTTTCCGTCTGTCTGCATTGATGTGTTTTGTACAAAAAAATTAATAACCCCTTAACGG